TTTTGTAAAGCTTCAGTTGTAACTCCTTCAAAATGTTCAGATTGCTCTTGTTGATCAGCACGGAATTCAGTAATAGGAGTTCCTTCACGAGATTGACGTGGTGAATTTAGAGGAGAGGGAATCACGTCATCTTGATTTTGATGTATTTGATTCTCATGGTTTCCCAATGTGTTATTACTATTGTTGTCGGCGTTGTTGTTTGACATGGTGACGACAATAGATAAGATATAGCTTAAAAGGAAAGATTATCAGATTTCCGGTAACGGAACCAATTTGTTTAACCAAAAATCTGAGTTCTTTGGTCAAAGTTAAAAAGAAATTCGGGTTACTGATAATCAAGAGACGAAATAAAATACTTTTGAGAATGATGATAAAACAGCAAATAGTTGTGTATTTCAATGAATTCCCAATAGTATTCCGTGTGTTTACAAATGATGATACTTCTTCCTTTTATAGATAATTCTAGGTAAAAGAATGAAGCCTCAGCTGTAATGATATAATTATGAGTAATAAATGACATTAAATAAGCCGTTATACAATCATTCCTATTAAATACCAATTTCTTTAACGTATCAAGTATTTAATAATGAATTTGGACTCCTTTCTGTCATCAGATCTTTGTCTTTAATGCCTTCTAATCCGTTGGTTGTAAATAATTTAAATTGGTACGAGACTCGTATCTATACGTCGTCTCGTGCCTATTTAAATTCTTCTTCCCGTGGCTGTCTCCATCCGTGCCTCTTAGTCAATTGTTGCGCTTTGACCATTTAACTAAACCACGTGTCATGCCACATCATCTTTAATATAAACTCAGTTTTTTCCCAATACAATAATCCGATAGTGCTCGTTGTCCTTCTTATTAACCAACCTTATATGGGTAACTTCTATCACCGGCGTTACGTCAGAGATCTGTGATTCATTGTTTGAGAGCATCTTAATCGTGCCGGCGGGTAAGGAAATCGACGACATTTTGCCGGAAAAAATTTCAAGGAATTTAGCGAGAAAATGGAGGAGAATTTTGATGAAGAGAACGGGAAACTGATCTCTGAAGTACTGTATCTCTTTGATTTTAGTATGTGTCGTAGCATTAAAAATGTTCTTACTATGTTTTGAAATGAAAAATATTTGGATTAAATTTTTAAGTACTAAAGACAGAGATTGCCCAAGGTTTAGTTGAAGCCAGTTAAAAGTTAAGAAAATTGCAAGTAAAATGACTTCTCACCTATAAGCGAGAAGTCATTTTCTCTCTTTTAATGAAAATGCGATTTAATCAAACATCATAAAATTATATTTCACGACTTTTTTAGAAAATTAATTTTAATTCGTTACACACACAAACGAGAATGGTATGCTGTGCTAGTAGATCGACGACAGTGTGGGAAAATGATTTATCTCTTTGGGTGTGTTTGGGTATGAAGCAAAATGTTTTCCATAGAAAATATTTTCATGGAAAATGAGTGGTTTTATCACTTATTTTACCTTGTTTGGTTGGTAAGTGAAAAAAATTTTCCAAAAAATATTTTCTAGTGTTTGGTTAGATAGTAAAAAATAATTTTTAGGAAAATAATTTTTTTATGCTACTCTACTCGCCCCTTTGGACATGAAAAGACAAAATTTAAGGATTCTTTACATCACCATAGATTCACATTAGCTTAATAAATATAAATCTTATTGTACTTGCAAGATGCATCATTTTGTTATCCGATAATACTCTTAGTGGAACGGGCACAAGATTAAAAATGCTTCTTTTGTTTCCATAATCTGATTTAAAAAAAAAAACAGTTTGGTACACAAAGTATCTCGCATTTACGCAAGATTCGGGGGAGGATCGCATCGCAAGAGGGTGTGATGTAGATAACTTATCTGAATGCAAGCATTAGTGGTTGCTTCTAAGCAGAGAGACAGATCTAGATTTAAAGGTGGCAGGTGTCAAAATTTCTTCTAATGTATACCTTATAATAACTACTAATATATAGTTTGTTCGGGACGTTTGTCCAGTTTATTTTTTAGTTTATTCGGGCAATTTAATAAGCACTTTATTTGCAAATATAAAAATTACATCAATTTTCCAGACCCTACTTATGGAATTTCATTGGGTATATATATTATTATTGTCGTATAAAAATTACATCTCAGACATTAAGAAGCAAATATAATTTGCACAAGTAAAATAAAATCTTTAATAAGGGAACTCCACCAATCAGAATAAGAAAAATAAAAAAAAACATCTTCAATAAAATTATATCCCATAAGTAAATGCAGAATTAGATAAACTACAAGATCTCAAAACTTAAAATCATAAATCTAATGCTTGCGAAATATTCATCATAATTTAATGCTAAAAAAATTTAAATTGTATCAATCATAGAATAACACAAATTTTTATGTTATAATAAAAAAAAGAAATTATAAATTAATTTTGATCTTAATCTAAATATCAAGATCCAAGTTTTTTGATTTTGAAAGAAGAAAACTAAAGGATTTGAGATTATGATAAATGCTTATATTATGACATTTTTAAATTTTGGAGGCTTTTTTTTTGAGTGTTTTGCTAAATATCACAGATAAAGTAATAGAATAGAGGAAAAAATATAAAAATAATAAACAACAAATAGGAAATTGGAAGGTAGCCAAAAAGGAAAATGACTCGGACAAAAAAAAAAGCACAACGAAAAGGAAAGTCAGACATGGTTCAAGATAAATTTGAACTTGAAGTTTACACACGAGAAAAACTTTCAAAAAGGTCTATTAGTCATGAAACCTTTGTCTAGTTTGTGAATGGGGGTGGCAGAATCATATATTTAACCTAGTTTAATTTTTTTTTTTTTTACATAAATATAAGATAATTTTACCAACCGAGCGCGTGCCATACCACCCCCACCCATAAGGGTGAATCTGCCCTGCTTCTACGGTTTGAACCCGTGACCTATAGATCACACGAAAAAAAATATTGAATTATATATAACATTAAAAAGAAAAACAAACACAAGCAAGCAAGAAAAGAGAAAAAAAACAACAAGTAAGCAAGAAAAGAAAAATAAAAAGAAAACCAGACCAGATACCTTTCATCAGTTTAAACTTGTTGATGAGCATTGCAATTTTAATTTTTTTTTTCAATGGGGAGAGGCTTTCTACCCAACTATAAATTCCTCCATATATAAATTTTCTATAAGATCCGTGGATTTCACATTTTCTCCAACTTTTTCTTGTGACATTATAACAAAAATAAGAGAAAATATCGTTCTTCACTTTGGTGAGTAATATAATCTCTTTAGGAATGAATATAATCTCTTCATCGTACGTCAGGGAACAAAAGTGCATTCTAGGGCACTCCATTTTCTCAGAAACAATGGGAAAGACAGTTCGGTGCACTAAACTTTCGCTATACGTGAGGACCGATAAAGGGTTGGACCACAAGGATCTATTGTACACGACTTTACTGTGTATTTCTACAAAATACTGTTTTCACGTCTCGAACAACTTTACCCGTTACAGTTACGTCAAGGCTTCCCTTAAAAACAATGGGAAACCCAATAATGATATTCCTCTGCCATACTTCATGTTGACCTTTTCCTAAAATCCACAAATTAATCTCTCCATTAATCATCGTATTTTCAAGGACTGCTAGTTTTCCTTTCAGTTCTATTAGGTTATAGTAAGGTTTGTTTTGATGTAAAGCTCCCCACAATGTAATAGTTCCGAAACTTTTAGCTTTCACATCAAATCCAATGTAAATCTTTTTTATATAATAATTACTTATACAACAACAACAACAATAATAATAATAATAATAAGAGTTTTGTGGCCTTTGAATTTTGGGGCCTAAGGCAATGGCCTCACTTGCGTACCCTTTAGAGCCGCCCCTGACTGGAACTTTCCGCGTGTTGGAGTTCCAGCATAATATGCTGGAAGTTCATACACAGATGCACCAATCTCCAGTATATTATGCTGGAACTTTCCGTATTACAGCAAAATAGTGGCTATTTTTTTAATGACTTTGCAAACGCTAGCTATTTTTGAATAACCAGTCTGAAAATTGGCTAGCCCGTGCTATTTTAACTACTACTCCCTCAATTCCAATTTATGTGAACCTGTTTGACTGGGCGCGGAGTTTAAGAAAAAGTGAAGACTTTTAGAATTTGTGGTCCTAAACAAGTCAAAAAGGGGCCTACAGTATTTGTGTGGTTATAAAACCTTCTCATTAAGGGTAGAATTGTAAGTTTACGCTAAATTGTTTAATTTAGAAATGAGTCATTTTTTTTTGAACGGACCAAAAAAAGAAATAAGTTCACATAAATCGAAACGGAGGGAGTAATAGGTAACTTTTGGCATTAGGCCCATGGAGGGAGTAATCGGAACATGGTTGCACCACCAAAAAAGTAAGAAAAAAGAAGCACTAAGTGGGAATCAATTGATGTTCCTTTGGATAAAGGATTCAAGTAGGTGTACCATTCAATTTTTTTGGAATATGGGGTCAACCGATAATATTAAATTAATTTTACAAATATATACATAAATACTTAGTTTGGCGAAAAGATCATGGGTTCACGTGTACCGCAAAAAGAGCCTAAATCCACCCCTGGAAATACACCCCTCAGTTTAGTGTACAAGCTGTTTAATAGAGAACTTAGCCATCTCTTTTAAATTAAACCAAAACACATTTCCTCACAAGTTTACCTAACAAACGGTTTGCTCAATTTTCCTCTGAATCTTCTTCAACCTTTTCCATAACTTCCTCTACTCTGCTTCTCCGTATTAATGTATCTGTCCGTACAATGGCCATTACAGGTGAATCTTCCATAAGTGTAAAGTGAAAAGGGGGAGAGATTATCAGAGTAAGAAACTCACGATATTCACATACTTCAACCAGACGACAATTATTCAAAACGTTTCCCTGGTTATCATAGATGTAGATTATCTAATGAATTTCATTTTTGGCATGAATAAATAAATAATACGTAAATAAATTAAACAAGTTCAGTAGAAATACTTAATAATATGTGCAATGGTTCTTATATACCCTTTTACTGAACCTATATATCATAACAAAAGGCCCTAACATGATAATCACATGTACCAGACTTCACGAACTATTCAATTTCCTCTTGTTGAATTCAACGATATAGTAGTTATGCATATAAGAATCATATAACTTAACACAGTTTTTCAGAAGTCAACCATACAATGGATGTTGAAGATTCATTCAAACGACTTACCTCTAATTCTGTCAAAGGCATAAACTTTAAGCATGTCGCTTCCCGAACTCTCTAATTGCTCTTTCTGGATCTGCTCAGCAAAAGTCACAAGGGAAGGAATACATCCATGCAACTCAATTTGCTGCAGTGTCACACTATCTGTGAATCCTCGAGGAATCTCTCTTAAGTACCTGCAATTTCTGATAATTACGCGCTCAAGGCATGGGAAATAATCTTCAGCGGCTATCCAGTAAACAAGATTCAACTCCTCAAGGAGCAAGAATTTTAGTTCAGGAAATCCCATCTCTGTTACTTCCCATGCTGTTGTTAAACGAAAGGCTCCGTTCTTCAATTGGAGCACGTTGAGTTTGGGCAACATGCTAATGGTTGTCATGTCCTTCCACATCAATCCAGTGCCGTTAAGTGTCAGCTTTTTGAGATTTGGCGGGAAAGAATCCAGACGTGGAAGCCTTACGAAACTAGACATGTAAGATTTAATACTTAGCTCCTCGAGCTCATGTAAATATATTAGATTATCTAGGCATCTGGACTTACCATCATATTCATCGTTTTTGTCAAAAATCCCCAATTTTTTCACTTTCTTAATCCCTTCAAATATTTCTTTTGTGCAACAAGAAGAACTCAACCCATAAACACTTTGCAAGTTTTCCAAAACACGATACTTAACTTCATTAGCTGATACCTTTGGAGGAGAACTCAAATATATCTTCGAGGAGTGGAGATGCCTCAATTGAGACATTTCCCAAATTTCATTTGATAAATATATAGTATTTGGAAAATACTGAGGGAAAACAAAGGTCTGTAAATTCCAAAGTTTAGAAATTGGTAGATCTTTAGGAATCGTACGAATTATCATAGCCAAATACCTTAAAGAAACTAGGTGTACTATTTCTCTAGGTAAATGGTCGAAGCCCACTTTTTCCAAGTCCAATACTCTAAGAAGTTTGAAATGGTTTAGTCTTAATGCAAGATAATCTATGCTTATGGTGATAGAAATATGAAGAGAACGCGTTTTGCTATGAGTAAGATTATCAAAACGAAAGGAAGAAGAAAAACCTCGCATTGAATGAAGTGACAGCCACCGACGACCTTTAGGGAAAACTGTTCGGTGTCCTTTTGAAATTGGGGGATTAACAACATATAAGAGATTCTCCTTTTCAGCTTCTCTCAAGCATAAATCATGGAGAAGATCATGAATCCTGCATGTCTTGGTTTTGCCATCCAAACTTCGCTTGCTAACAACAACTAGACTCTTATCGATAAGATCATGTAAAAGACTAGAACCCAATTTCTCCAGCTCCTTGAGCCCCTTTAGCTCTAAGAGCCCTTCAGCAACCCATAATCTAATCAACTTTTTCACAGAAATTTCATTTGCTTTTGGGAAAGCTCCGAAATATAGAAAGCAAGCTTTCAAATGTGAAGGAAGATAACTGTAGCTCGAAGCGAGCACTCCTGAGCAACGCTCATAATCATCAAGGTTTACTAAAGAGCTAACATTTTGAGCTACTTCCCTCCACGTGTCCAGTGTCTTCTTGCTAGAGAGAGTCCCTGCAACCACAGAAATTATTAGTGGTAATCCTTGGCAATTTTCTACGATTACCCTTGCAACATTCTCAACTTCAGTTGGACAACCTTTTTTGCCAAATGCCTTTTGGCAAAACAAATGCCAACTTTCCTTTGGCTTCAGGAGACGCATTGGAAAAGGATCGTTAGGAAAGCTAGCATATTGAGCAACATTCATGTCTCTAGTAGTCAACAGTATACGACTTCTGTTACTATTATCTGGAAACCATAGTTTAATCTCATCCCAGGCTTCCGTGCTCCATATATCATCCACAACAATCAAATACCTCCTACCCTTCAAACTCTTTTGCAAGCGATCTGCAAGTGCATCATCAATTTTCTGCAAGCCATCTTCTAATTCTCCATCGCTCTTCTGCAAGCAATTTGATAGTTCTCCATCGCTTTTCGAATCAGCCTCTTCATTCATCCCAACATCTTTAAGGAGGGATAGAAGCATCTTTCTTATATTGTAGTCCTTGGACACAACAATCCATCCACGAACATCAAAGAAGCTCACAATTGAGGGATCAGAAAATATTCTTTTGGCAAAAGTTGACTTACCAATGCCGCCCATACCAAAAATAGAGATGACTTCCAGTTGAGATGAGTGTCCCCTAAGTTGACCCAGTATGAGCTCTTGTTCAATGTTGTACCCCACCATTTCGTTCTCGAGGGTTGAAGCATGTGATTGTGATGAAGTAGAAGCGCCAAGTGAACAATTTCCAGGTCGCATATTATTCTCCCTCAGCTTCATTAGCTCTTTGTTCACAGAGTCAATGTCTTTTATAGCTCGCTGCAAGATCTTAAGAAGCCTCTCATGTGCCTTTGTTGGAAGGTGGAAGACTCGTTGCAACATCTTAAGAAGCTTCTTCTGAGCCTCTCTTTGAATGTGTGATTCAACTTCATCTTCTACTTTATGTGCTACATCTTTGACCTTTTTTAGCAAATCCTTCATTGGTTCATCATCAGAATTAGTGTCAAGAAACTCTAGTATAGAGCCAACCTTGTCGTAGAGTAATTTNCATAATTTTTGGTATAGTAGTTGTGACTTATTCACACTCTATACATTTGGTTTCCGCAACAATTTCAAGTGTTCTTTGTGACCCTCATGAAGGTCTGAGGTGGATTATGAAATCAGGTGTAGTGTTCCCATCAGAGAAGTTACTGCAGCATAAACTGTAGCCATATCTCTCCCTACTTCTGCAGAGAACTTTCAAGATTCGTGAATGAAGAAATTTGCAAAAAGTTGGCACTTAAAAATGATAGACAAGTTTGGCTACTACTGCTAAGTATATCAAGTGGTGCTCATTAATTTGTTGAATACTTCCTGATAATTTTGTTGAAGTCAACTATTGCACACTGGAAACAATGAAGTTTGATATATAGTAGGGAGTAGTACTATATCAAAATCAAAACAAATTGTTTATTTTTCTATGAAATTTCCTAGATGTGGACAGTCACTTTTTCTTGGTTTTGATTTTTTTTATTTAAAAGCTGAAGACTTGAGAATTCTACCTACCAAGGTATTAATTTTGAATAATCATTGGCACATTGTGGATATGGGAAAAAGAGAATAACAGAACAAAACAAAAATAGGAAGAAGCAAAGATGCAACACATATAGGTTTATCACATACTTTCTGATAAGTTTCCATTGTTCCATTTTCTCCACAAAAGAAAAAAGGGTTTTCACACACCACACTTTCTTTATTTAATTAATTATTCTGAAGCAGCCATCAACTTGTTTTCACTAAAGAATTAGTTCAATGACAACGATTTGCAGGTTGTCCCTAAGTATAAGTCAAGCAATTGACACATGTTATGCTATTTGAAGGTCCACCAAGTGGCACCTCAAGTATTTTAAGAAAGTTTGTAAACATAGACTCCAAATATTCCATTTAAATATTAGGGTAAAACAAAGACCATTGCTAGGCGGAGGTGAAGGTCAAGAATTAAGGTAGAAAGCTAGCAGGTAATCGATCAATTTTTTTCCATATTAGTAGTATTAGTGTTAGTATGACATATTTCTTATTCTTAGATTGTTATTACTACTTGTTGTTTACTTTGGTTTTCTTAAGTTATTAGTGCTTGTTGCCCAGCTTCTTTTTATTTTTTTGAGCCGAAAGTTTATCGGAAATAACTTTCTTGAAGGTAAAAGTAAAATCTATATACACACTACCCTCACCAAAACTCATTTGTGAGATTGTTGTTATCCTAAAACATGGGGAGCACAGTAAGTGAGGACTATCATTGTTTTAATCTAAACAGTAAAAGTAAACAATGAATAGAGTATTATTTGAAAAAGAAATTCCCATACATTTAACCAGTCAACTGTTGCGGAAGCCAAATGTATATAGTGTGAATAAGTCACAACTACTATACCAAAAATT